TCGCCCGCCCCTCGCCGCGCGGCCCCTCCCCTTCTCTTGTGATCGCGCTAGGTGCTTCCCTTGGTGTACCTCACCTGCTCAGGGGAAACTGAGGCGGGCTCCCTGCAGATTCCTGATAATTCCGAGTAACCTCGCGATTCTGTGTGGTCTTCGTTGAGGACCTTGTGGAACGGTTAACCACTGTCCAGCCAAGTACCAGTGTGGCCAAGGGAGGTGTCCACTTCTTCCTTAGATTGTGTAAAGTATTACTTTTGGGGACGTGGTTGAGACAAGCTTGCCTTGAACTCACTGTGTAGCCTAGGCTGGCCTTGCCTCAGACTCCTCGGTGCTGGTGTTACAGGCGTGCACCACCACTCCGGGTGTTTGCATTGTTTTCGATAGACCTTTGTAAGAGTACCAACATACCTTAAGGAAAAGCGAGAACCACTCAGAAGTGGTGGTGTGCGCTTGTAATCCCAGCGTGAGGAAGCTGAATCAGGAGGATTTCTGCGAGTTCAAGGTCAGCCGTGATCCCTGTCTGCATAAATAAATAGGAGTATTGGGGAAAATAGGACACTTTTTATACCTCTGCTTTTCTAGAGTGTGCATATTTAAGTCCATGATGTTCTCTGGGACAACGATCTTAACATGAGATATATTAAGTACTTCCTAATGCCATGCTCTGTTTTAAGAGCTTTACAAATGTTAACACTGTTAATCCTCACAACTCCAGGAAGGAGATGCTGTTTTATCCATTTTGAAGATAAGGGAAACGGCACTGAAAGGCCAAATTCATAGCACAGCTGGAATTCAAACCCTGGCCATCAGGAAAAGTTTTCTTAACTAGGTGGCTATACCAGAGTTATTCGAAACACACACCTACAACTTTGCTGTAATTTTTTATTTAAATGTTTTCGTCTTGCAGGTTGGTAAGAATCAAACTTCCTGTGTGACAAGCAGCAGTGGCCTACTGAGGAGTGAGGTGGTGACACATGGTCACATTTGTGTCAGACTACAGCAGCATCACCACACCCAGTGACTGAATCCTGTACAGAAGGACTGGTTTAGCTAAGCCAGTTTCGGTTTTCCTAGAGTGAAGAGGAGCAGCAGAGTGTACGTCATTGTAAGGATTTAATCCACTTTTTATTTGAATTTTCAACACGCTTTCCAAAGTCTTAATTTCTTATATTAAATTAGTTGCTTTGACGATTCATCTTGAGGCTATAGCACTAATTGAAAGACAGTGAAGTGAACTATATCTCTGTCCCTGTCAGGCTGCAATGGAAATTTAAATTGGCTGTAGAAATCCTTACAATTCAGTTGAAAAGTTGGATTTCAATTTTTTTTGGATCTCATTCCTCAGAATGTTTGTGGAGATTTTTCCTTGAAGTACGTGTATTTCCACAAGTTAGAGCACAATTGTGGAGGTGGAGGTCTCTGTCTAGTTTGGAGACAGCTATTCCATTATGCATTGTTCTGAAGACTTTAGCGCTGCTCATGAAAGAGCAGTGTTACCACGTGTCTTCTATTGAAATGGAAATTTAATATTGTTATCTATCTTGACAAGTCAACCTTTAGCAAATTGTAAGGCCCTGGCACCAGAAGTGCAGGGATTATAGTCATAGCTTCATCCATTTTTTCCCAATGGTTCATCCTTTAAATATATCCAGGAAAGAATAAACATACTGTATGCCCAGAGTCCATGACTTCCGATCCCCTCTCCCTCTCTTTCGCTTATATGCTGGTGCTATGGCTCAGCTGGGTTGCTGCGTTAGTAGCTTCCATCTTAGTCCTCCTCCAGTCTGGTGAGGTTTTTTTTTGTTTGTTTTGTTTTTGTTTTTGGCAGTACTGGAAACTGAACCCAGTGCTACATCCCCAGCCCTTTTTTATTTTGAGACAGAGTCTTGCTCAACCTCTAAATTGGCCAGATCAGGCTCAACCTTGGGGTCCTTTTGCCTCAGCTTCCCAGAGTGCTGGGATTGCAGGTGTGCACCACCATGCATGGCTGGTTGTCAGCTTTTATTAAAGTGTGTTAGTACTCTTGTAAAGGCCTGATGCTACAGTTGAATTGAAAATTAGCCCAAATACCAGATGTGGTGCTGCACCCCTATAATTCCTGCACTCTGGGAGCCAAGGCCAGAGGACTGCAAGTTCAAGCTCAGCCTGAGCAATTTAGCAAATTAATAAGACCCTGTATCAAAGTAAAAAACGGGCTGGGGATGCTGCTCATTTTAAAGGCCCTGAGTTCAATCCCCAATACCATAAAACAAAACAAAACAAAAAATCAATCAAGCAAACAAAAAAAACCCAGAAACCTTAAAACAATCTGTCCCTCTCCCTCTCTGCATAGAATTTTCTACATTCTTGTAATGGCTTAAATTTTTAAAAAACTTCTCTGATAACTAAGAAAACTTACTGAGTCAGTTAGGCTGGGTACCACTTGGGGTTTGAAGTAAAGCTGGATTTAAACTGGTTTAAGCAGTAAGAGCATTTGTTAGTTCATGCAGTTTTCCATGTTGTCTTTATCCTGAGGCTGCACCTTCCTGTCTGTGTGGCTTTCATCTGTCTTCACAGTGGTGTGGCGGCATACCCTCAACAAGGCTTGCGGGAGACAAAGTGAACTCCAGAAGTCAGGAAGAACATTTTTTCTCCAGTACCAGGGATTGAACACAGGGCTTTCATAATGAACTACATCCCCAGCCCTTTTTTAGTGTTATTGTTTGTTTTGAGACGGGGTCTTACTAAGTCACTAAATTGCTAGGCTAAGCTTAAACTTGTTGTCCTTCTGACTCAGATTTCCAAAGTGCTGGGAATATAGGCACACATGATCTCCTCTGTCTCAGGAAGAGCTTTTCTAGAAACCTTGCAAACTTCATTTTTATCCTTTTTTTTTTCCCACCTCAGTACTATGGATCCAACTTAACGGCCTTACATTTTATACCTTTAAATAGGTTAAAATCTTAAATCAGTGTGAGGTTTCTCTCTGTCAGGACTGTTGTCTTTTTGGTTTGGACAGTTCTTTGTTGCAAGAGATCTTGTGCATAGAAGGATGTTTAGTAGTATCCATGGGCTCTTTCCAGTAAATTTCCCCACTACTAGCTATGACAAAAATATCCACAGGCATTTTGAAATACTCCTAGGGGCCAAACAACCCCCAATGGAGAACCACTGCCTTAAACCAGTGGGCCTCCTTGGAGCTAGTGTGTGGGATGAGCTGTGAGAGGAACTGTCTCTTTCCCATCCATAAAGGATCACAGCCAACATCCTTATAACAAAGATAGGTTAACAAGAGGAAAAGCATAGTAAATTATCATGCACTTATACATGGGAGCCATTAAAAATATGGAGACTCAAAGAACGGGCCAGGTGGCTGAAACTTAAATATCCTTTTTACAGAGAAGTATCAATGGGGTAGGGAGTACTTGCAGAGTATGGGAGATTAGAGGCCAACCTTGTGGTGAACAAAGGTGTCTTGGTACGCAGATAAAGTCTCCACATAATCTTTCAGAGCTTCCCTCAGAAGAGGACATGAAAAGCCTGTCTGGGTATAATGATAACTTTTGGTCATCTCTCTTTTCAGATGGTTAATCTTTCCTGGTTATTTAATGGTATCCTTATTCCTATAGAAAGAGTTTAAGATAATTCCTCTTCCTACTCTTCATCCTCTTTTGTGTGTGCTGTGGATTGAATTCTGGGCCTTGAGCATGCTAAGCACCCACTCTCCCACTGAGCCATCCCTCAGCCCAACACTTGTATTTAAGGGAGGTTAGAGAAATCTGGATTCTGAGACTGTTTCTTCAAATCAGTAGGTTGAGGCACAACAGTTTGGGTTGTCATTTTTGGGGTCCTAGCACCTTGGTTTGGGGCACTGGTATTGCACAAAGAATGATAAGATACTGAACACTTCCTGTGAGGAGGAGATGGTGAGAATAGTGTTGTGGTTTAGGTCCAAAGTGGTCCCACAAGTCTCATATTCAGAGCTGGGGCTTTCAGAAGGTGATCAGATTGCAAGGGCTCTGACTTCCTTGGTGGGCCTGTCCATTGATGAATCATAATTTGATGGCATTATTAGGAGATGATGGAAACAGGACATGGGGTCCAGCTGCAGGGTCCTGGGGAAATGACTTTGGGGATGCTCTGTGGTCCCCAACCCTTTCCCTGTCTGGATCTTTCTCTCTTTCTCTGCTTCCTGGCTTGTATGAGATGAGCACTATCTCTCTGACTCACCATCTGCCATGATGTTTCTGCCTCCCCATGGTCCTAAAACAGTTGAGTTAGTTGGCTGGCCTTAGACCAAAGCCTCTGAAACCATGAGCCCCAAAAAATCTTTCCTCCCTCTAGTAGGTGTGTGGTCACAGCAGAAAAAGATGGCCAGTGACAAGGATAGAGCCACAAGGTTCATCACAGCTCCTTTACCATGCACCTCTCCAGACTGGGGCACATTGCAGAGCTGTCCTGTCAGACACAGTACTGGGTAATAGGAAACTGATGATGTGTTTTGAATTGTGGTGTTTTGGGCAAGAAGATCTTCTTTTCAGATAATGGCCTTTTCAGAATATCTGAGGAGATGGGTGTGGTGGCTCATGCTTATGCTCCAGAAACCCCTAAACTAAGGGAGGAGAATCCAGAACTTGAGCTCAGCTGGGTCACAGAATGAGTTCAGGACTAGCCTGGAGTGCATAGTTAGACCCTGTCTCAAAGCCGGCCAGCCAGCCATCCTGGCATGGCAACACCTGCCTGTGATCCCTGTGCTCTTAGTACTCTCCAACGCAGTCTGGGAAATCCAGTGAGTGTAGTGAGATCTTGTCTCAAAATATAAAAGGACTGGGGATATAGCTCAGTAGAAAGGCCTGATTTAATCCCAAGGACTGTAGAAACAAGCTCAAAACAGGGAAGAATATCAGGGCAGACATGTACTTCTGCTGCTCCGTGGTGGCAGAGGACACAGTGATGTGCTGGGAGGGAGGCAGCACTCCCAGAGGCCTCCAGGAACCATCCCTGACTAAGTCAGGTCCAAGGTCATCCCCCAAGTCAGGCTTGGACCAGACATTTCTTGCTGCTTTAGCTTGAGGGATATCAAAAAGCCTAGCAGACTCTGGAGATTCTGCCTGCAAAGAAGTTTCTTAGTTTCATTTACTCCAAGACTTTATATCTACAGTCTGACGTGTTACATACACAAGCAAAGAAACTGTATTTGTAGGGAACAGCTTTTCAAATCTTAGGCACATCAGTGAGATAGAGTACATCAATATTAAAACATTATTCTAGAATTAGCTGTTTTTCTATGGTCATTGGGCCAATGCTGAGTGCCTGCTCTGTGAGATAGACTGACCTCATCCTGTTTCTCATAGTTTTGGGATTCTGGTGAAGGCAACAGAAATCCCATTTAAATTCAACATTTGCGATGTTACTCAGGGCGGGAGCATGCCTTAGTGCTTCAGTGCTGCGTACTGTGTTTTTTCACTGGCTTGCATGATTCTTTGCTTTGGTAATGACAAATTAAAAGTAAAGCAACAGTATGATTTTACAAGCAAAACGTTTCATTGAAAAGTAGGAAAGAGTGAAAGGACTTCAGGCTGAGCCAGAGGTGGAGGGAGGAGGCTCTGATGAGGAGGCTCGGACCGGTGCACCCAAAAAGGAGCCATTGACTGCCACCTCAGCCCCAGGCCCAGCTTTGCAGGCCTGGAGGTGGCCCTTGTGGCTTGAGACGTGGCTCTGTGTTCCCAAAATCATTATCTCTCCTTGTGGTCGTTTCAGTCATGAGTTCGAGGCTTTGTTTTTCCTGGAGTCCAGGTGATTACGGGTTTGGAACAATGACTGGAGACTTTGGAGCACCCCTCCAGGGAGGGAGCCTGCAAGCAGACAAGGTTGACAATGAAGAGTCTGTGGACTCCTGAGAATTACATTAGTTTCTCTTGGCTTCCCTCTTGAAAGGGGATGACACAAGCTAGGTAAATTTAGGGCTAATAAATTCTGCTTTGCCAATATTTAGACAGACATTCCCTAAATGACTAACGAACCTATAGGCAGAGTTGGGAATTTAACCTAGAATTTTACAAAGTAAAGGTCAGGCTCTGCTTGTTGCCCACTGGGCATTTGTAGACCCAAGCAAAGAGCGATGGG